ACAAGCGCACAAAATTTGCTTTCCCAGGGGACTCCTCCCAACCAGAACTTCAAATCAAAAGGAAGCTTTCATTATTATTTTACTCTCGCCCCTCAATTCCCACACCTGTCAGCAGTTACTGTACCTTTGCATACTCCCTTCCACTTAAAGTATCCTTGATTGATCTGCTTTATAATCAGTCCCAGGGTGTATCCTTGCTACATCTCATTGAGACAAAAATCTTTCTGAACAGCCTGCCTGAGAAAATTTCCCATAAAGTGTAGGTTGCTTTCTTCTCAGCTACAGGAAACAAACAGAAAACCTGGTGAGATAAACCCCTCCATGCACTGTTTAGAAAATTAATTACCTTTAAGAAATAAGCATTAACATTTAAGCATCTCTTCTGAACACAAAGCAAAAATATAGATTTCAATCCAGATGACATGCAAGTGATGGCTTCAGTTGCCAAGCATTCATTCCAAGCCCACCTCTTTCTAACGATTCATAAAAGAAGAGACTTAGCCAAACATCCATTGCAATAAGGCCTAAGGAATTAATAACGTGGGGCAACTTTAGTTCACTTGGCACGTGGCTCTCCTAGCTCTTTAGCTTCTCTATGGGACGTGCCATTTCAAAATACCAGCCGCAGCCGCGGTGTAAGCCTAGGAGCTACTCAAACATAAGCTAGCTGGACATAGTCTGTAAGGCATCGTAATCCAAAGGAGTGTTTAGGGCAGAGCTCTTCCCCGAACATGCCCCCTGTTACGCCCTTACTATGACGATGTTATACCAACTAAGAGCTTCTTGCGCAGGGGGAGTTCTTAATGGGTTTAAATACAGCACAGCCTCATTATAACAACCTCCTGCTTTTAACCAGCCTAACAGCAGGAGCTGATATTTTCATTATGATGATGCAGCAAATGGACTAACCCTATTATCATGAATGCCCTCTTCTAATGAACTCTTCTCCCGATCCCAAGAGGGCTCTTTCTAATGAGGTTGCACCACACAGTCAGACTGTCACTGAGTGCTGCAAAAGAGCCTGTTCGGGGAATAGCGCCTACCTCCCAGTCAGCCTAGAAGAGACACAGAGAGGGATTTTTTTTTTTGCTTTGCTGTTATCAATATATTGAGCTAGAAACAAGTAACACAGGCAAAACCACATACCTACCCACTTTTTAATAAAGATCAGCAAAGCAATGAAGCAGCAACTAGTCAACAAAATGCTACACAAATGGTTATACCAGACATGGAAGCAGCCCTTTAAAACATATCACATGAAGCTGAAGCCTTTGGGGGACATGCCTGAATGTTGTTTCGATATACAGCGGGCAATCCATGTGCAAGGAGGCTATGTAAAGTCTAATAAAGAAGCTATTGCATTTTGCCATATTAGAACATATCTGGTGCAGAAACTGTGAAGGTCCCTGTTAGTTCATGCTTGTGACCTATTGCCATTCTTCACAGGTGGCAAAACTGAGGCTCAGAGGAGACACGTCACTCGACCATTCAGGTACTGACAGATGGGGACCGCCTAACTCTGTCTTCTGCTAAGGCCGTGCCTTCTCCAAGAAATACAGGGCCATACAACAAGATTCAATAGACTCAGGAGCTAGTCCTCTGACTTACATCTGGATATAGTTTTGCTTATTATATGTGTATTTTTTACTAGTCTGCTACTTTTCCAATTCAGATTTAATCTATTGGAAAACCTTGCAGTATCCTCTTAGGGGGAACTAATGTTTGGAGAACTAAGATTGTACAAATATAAATTTTAATAGTCAAGACAAATGTATAATAACGTAAGGTCTCCTGCATATTATGTGATCAGGTTGTGACGCACAATACTTATAAGCCTTAAAATACAAATGAAGACAAGGGAGAAGGAAAGCAATTAAATAAATCCATAGCTCTTTTCTAGCTATGTCTGGAACTAAATGGTTCCCTGGCTTAGCAGTGTGTCTGTGTCCCTCTAGTCCTTTATGATGCTCGCTGGCCCGCTTCTCATCCTCCTGTCTCCTTCTCTATCTCAAGCACAAGCAAACGGAAAATGAGTGAGTAGTGATTTGTAGCTTCTGCTTCTGCCTAAACTTGACAGAGCTGTTGTGATCTTTGTCAAAGTCCAAAGGAACGCAAAGAGAAAACACATTCATACTTCTTCAGAAGAATGGGATGTGCTATGGGGCAGGGCTGAAGACCAAAGGAACCCAGTTATCTGCTGTCAATAAGAATCAATTCCCATTCGAAGCTTATCTCATTGAAAGCTGAGTCTGCAATTAGGTCATGTAAGAAACTGGGTACGGTGACACCATTAACTGCTATTACCAAATCCTAACGAAATGTTGCCTTGCATTGTGTTCATAATGAGAGATGGGAAATAAATATCTGCTCTTCTCCTGGGCCTGCTATAGCCCCGAAGATTATTTTAACAATGGAAAGCTGAGTTGGTCTCTCTAATAAAAGGAATAAGTTGGTGGACTGAATGTTGTTCCTTTTGTATTGACTGGTACTTTCATATTTGTACTGCTACTTAAAATGAAACACACTTGTTGGGGGGGACAAGTTAGATTCCCAGGGTTTTGGGCACTAATGTTTATTTTGATTTCTAATAAAATATATTAGAAAGGTGCCCACCTAAAATGGCTGGTAGGTGTTTAAAAACATTTTTAAAGAGAGGAATCATTTAAATGATAACCAGGGCCACCCTCACTCACAACTCCCCATCTCCATCTAAAGCTCTCCCTCTGTCAGGGGTTCATCTCTCCCAAAAGCCATGGTCATCAGAGGTTTGATGTGTAGTGGGTCCTGAAAAGTCAGTGAACGTTTCCAATTCAAAACACAACAGGCTCCAAGATGGCGGGCCCCTCCTTGAGTATCTTCTATCTCCAGCTGCCTGCCTTTTACAAGGGAGGTACCAGTTAGCTCCACCATGAGTTACGGAAATGTGTTGACAGAGCTGTTATTTCATAAACATTAATCTTTCAGGAAAATACGAATGTAGCGTAGCAGCAATAACCCAGCTTAACACCGTATCAGCAAAAAGTACTGTATGTAAATGCCTAGATCCTAAGGGAGAACTAATGGATTACCCGTACAGGACACGAAGATGCAAAATTTCATTTCCCTCTAGAGATATTCCAAAATCTTATTACTGTAGCACGTCCCCAAGGAACAGATATTTTTCCTTGTATCAACACTTTTTATCAGTAGGAAAGAAAATGGTAGAATGAAGGGGAAATCTCAACGCAGAAAGATTGCGCAAAGGCTAGATACCCAGGACGGGGTAGAGGAACAGGAGATGGGAGGGACAGCAGTATGAATAGAGGAGAGAAGGATGGCCATTTTTGTGTTAGCATTTCCCAGATGCACCTGCAGATGGTTTTGCTAACCTTCAATACTCAGGAGAAAAGCCAGGCCAGAAAACAGAACTAATGGCACCAAATGCAACACACAGGCATGATACAATGCCTGTATCTTTGGAGGGTCTCTTGCCATAAACTCCAGTGAGATTTGGTTTATGCCCTTTAAACCTCTGTGTTTTTATCACTGAACTCCACCTTCAGATGAATGCAAACAAATCCTACTGAGAATAGGAGCGGGGGTATTTATGTATGACTATCTGGCAACATATGCTTTAGGCAGAGTCTACTTTTGTCTTCTCTACGGAAAAAGGCAGGGTGGTTTGCATCTGATAGACTGAATCAGAGCTGCATAAGCTTTCATAAGCAGCAGCTATAATAAGCCACTGAAAGAACTTAAGTGCATTAAATGAAGCTAAATGTTAAGATGAAGTGAAGTCACAAATGATTCACAATCTTATCCAGAGCTTAACAGACAATCTACTTCAAGGATTCAAGTGCCAGTCTTCAATATGCGTCTAGTTTGCCTAACATACCTCCCAACTCTGCAGTTGGTTTAATGGAGGATTCAACCTCCCTTCACAAATCTTGCTTCCTGCAAATTTCCTGGGCCATCTTGGTAACACCACCGCTGCAATGCACCTAAATTTAGGCATTAACTTCAATGCTTCCTGAACAGCCAGTGTTAAGCACATGCTGGAAGTTAAGGATGTGCCTATGCACATCACTGAACTGACACCTTTAGTAATAGGTTTATATACAGAGAATTACAATCCTATCACACCGCTGTCAACTCAACACAGTTTTAATGTCTCAGCCCCTGGTCCTGTTTTCCTTTCTAATCATGGAACATCACCAAATCCTGATTTATACCAGTTTTAAACTAGAAGCACAGTAGAAAAAGGCTCCACAAGAGGAAGGAACAGCACAGATTCAGCACAATAAATACTAGTTTTTGTGACAACATATGCTTCCTTTCTAACTTAAATCCAGCTGTACTAAAGTTCTCAGCAGTGGTCACGGTTGCATTTGACATCCAAACTGAAAAAATATGTGCTTGGAACATCAAAATCCCACTATTAGCCACAGCAGCTATGTCCCATAGCCCATTTCTCTCAAAGAGGTTATTTTACAGAAGTCCCTTGAAGTGCCTCACTAGAAATGCATGCATCTTTTGCCGATTCAGATTCAGAGACATTCAGACAAGCAGGAAAAAATACACGGCTGAGAGAAAAGCAGGCAAACAATTCAATGGACCTTTTCAGCAAGTGTGCAGAAACTTTAAAATATATGGTTTCCCATTACCTTTTAAAGAAATCAGCATTCTGCAGTTTATGAAAATATTTTCATCCTGTGTGTGGTGAACATTGACAAACAGCACCAATGCACACATTTATTAATCTATCAATCAAACAGCAAAGCAAGCTGCAACACTGTATGTTTAATATCCAGTGTAACCAATTAGTATTGCCATTCCTCGATGCTACACCACCTCATTTCCTTAAACTGCTGTTGCGGTAAATTCTACCATTATAAATGAGAAGCAGCAAATTGATTTGCATGTAATAACAGTGGCAATAAACCTTTCTGGCTACGTTCAATTTTCCCCATCTGTTAACAGAGTAGAAGTTTAGGATCTATTATTCCCAGAAGGGGACTTACCCAGCTGGACATCTATAACAGTTGGCTGGTTCTCCATGGGGAACAAAGGCTTTGGAGGTTTGTCTGTGAGTAAAGCTAGAAAAGAAAATGAGAAAATATAATGGAAAAATTGAGACAAATGACTGGATAAGAAAAATGTTGTCACGTAAGCTACTGAACGCCGGTAGACCTAATGGCATGTAAACATTTATTACCCAACGTTGCTGCTTTGGCTGTTCCACGGTCTAAGATGGGTCAGCTTCTTAACAGGTTTACCAGCTCATTGATTTAATGGAAACGGGCTGGTTCAACAGCTATGTTTGCACACACGATACAGTGAAGGTGCTCCGTTTCTGTTTTCTATCATATTATATTGAGGCTGACCACAATGCTTCAGGTCCTGGCCCTGCAAAGGCTCTAGTCTACATAGGGTCTAATAAGCTAAACAGGACTACATTTCTGTATAACAAATGAGCCTCTATTTTAGAACCAGATCTAAAAAGGACAAAAGCACAATTTAGGATGACCAGAGTGACTGATTTATGTGCAAGCTCCATGGACATATGCAAAGTTGGCATTCTTTCACCTAAGCCGACTAAGCACATGCTCAGAGCTCACTTATGGCCCCTTGGCAGATGTTATTTCAATCACGCCATGGCTTTTTTTGCATGATGAAAACATCGCGCCATGTGCACGGCTTCACATGCAAAGGGCAGGCCGTCCAGACGGGGAAACTGTGGCATGCCAGCTTGTGCTGTCGCACCACTTCTGACCAGCTGGTGGAGCACCCCCAACTTCTATCGACTTGCAGGCATTTGAGGGCGCTCAACATTTCACGGTCTTTGCTGCAAGTTCACCTTAGCTTTAAATGCGGGCTGAAACATTCTGCTATATCTGTATAAACTGGGACTACTTGTACAAACATTTTTTTTAAAACCAAAATTCTTACAATCTTGATTTGTATTAAAGAAAAGAAAGCGCTCCTTTGATTTCTGGATTACAGTCAACATTGTTATGTTTGTTAATTCTGCAAGTCGTGTTTTTTGTCCGTGGGACAATTCATTTCCTGCCTTCCATTTGCAGTGAAAATGGGCTCATTCACCAACCCTACAGGTGGGCTTTTCTAATGATAAAATAGGTATTTCCGTACCAAGCAGTGAGCACCTAATGCTGCAAATTAAAAATCATGTGCATTGGGAAGAAAGGTTTCCTGTTCAGTTTACCCATGAGGACAATGAAAGGATCACCTAAGTGATCTACATGGCACCTTAATTAAAACTTTGAACCATGAGCAGAGCTTGAAATGAAAGATAAGTGGGAAATGTTGTTTATAAGAGTGCAGCATCTCCAAAAGGTTCAACCAAAGCCAAACCACAGGACTGAGCTGGAAGCCACTTTCGGGCTACCTCTGCAATTACTTTATTTGTGAATTAGGCGATGAGGAAAAGCTTTTGGCAGAAACAATCAATATCCTGTGCTAATGTATCCAAGTCCTCTGAACACCAGTAGAGCAATGATTCTCAACCTGAGTGCCTTAGGATCCTCTCAAGGGTGTTGCAGGTTGCCACACAATGTTAACACTGTTAGGTTTACAAATGTGACTCACAAGAGAGACCCAGAGATTTCACATAGAAATCCATAGTTGTGGTCTTCTGGAGTTTTTTTGCACAGGAAAACTGCTCTATTGTTTTTCTGTCGTTAAAAAAAGGGTGAAAACTAAGAGCTGGCATGTTCCAAAGGGTGCCCCGAGTCTATCCAGCGGTGCCTTGAATCTAAAAAAGGTGCATGAGAGAAAAGGAAGGAAGAACTGTCAATGCTACTCAAACACATAATAATATATTTGCTTTCCTATTTTTAGTTAGGAATTTTGATTCCAACTGAAACACAAAACTCCATAGTAAGGGAGTGTGACATCAAGGGGAATTTTTTTAACGCGCCTAAGGCACTTAGGGAGCACAAATCCCATCGATTGTCAAAGCAACACATACTCCTACATCCCTTAAGGACTTTTGAAAATCTACCCTTCCCCTGTGCCATTGACATTAAATGGGAAATGGACAACTAATTCACAGGATCCTTGAAATCCCAGGCCAATTAAGAAAGATAGCTACTTTAATAGATATTATAGTTAATTAAATGGAGGACTACCGATAAGATAGATGCATTTGCTCAAGAATGTCCTCAGTACTAATAAGCTTATGACACCTAAGTAGAGACAGGCTAAGGGAAAGGGAATAACCAGAGATGGCTGTGTCATCGAGAAGGCAGGGGATGATACTTTTCCAGCAGAAACTCTAGATCTTTTTCACTGTTTGCTAGAATTCCTCCCTTCTTATACTCTGCTTCTTCTCATGAAAAATGGTCCCTAAATAATAAAAAGTTAAGCACCACTGGAACAGAAAGTACACAAGATGAAATGAAATGTGCTTTCAGTCATAGGAACCAACCAAACAAAAACCTCGGCTGTTGTCTCTTAGCTTACTGTGAAGATTAGATGAGCTACCCTTGGTCCCTAGTGCTTGCTCTAGGATACCGCATCGCTAAAGACACAGACAGACAATATTGTTCTCTGCTATTATGATTTAGCTTCTTTATTCGTTCTTATGTTCTCTAGGCAGACTCAGAGAAAAAAAAAAGTCTACTAGTGGGAGGAAACGACTATTAAAGCAATAGCAGGAACAATATTTTTAAGTACCCATGGTCGGTTTGGCTGAGGTCAGTAGGCTCTTAAAAGGACGAAGGAGAATCCTAGCAAATACTTTCCACCTGGGGGGAACAGTCCCTCCCTCGCTCCCACAGCAACTTGCTGACCGGTGTGTGAGAGCAGGCAGCGTCGGGGACGTTCAGTGTTTCGATGATGGGAGTATTATTTGCAGAGTTCGAATGAAGCTTTTATGTTGCGGTGCATTTCAAAAGCTACTCAAGTCAGCAGAAACCTCCCGCTGGTATCAATGGGCTTTGGCACTGGCCTTAAGATGCCAGGTACTTACTTACACCCCTGATCTTTATGCACACAGCAGCCCCCTGGGCATGTAGTCAGGCGCCTCGCTGGGAATACTTGCATGATTAAGCGCTTCATTGGATGACAGCGCAGTGCTTAGCGTCTTGAAGAATCACGCCCTAGGTACAGAGCAGTGCCTCATTTCTTGATCTATAGTTAATTCTGCTCCCTGGAAGAGGCAGATTAAATTGCCACTTCATGAGTATACTTTGATTGATTTATGCACAAAGACATGATTTATTTGACCTCATTTGATTTATCAAGCCCACCTCATGCCTGGTTCAAGACCGCTGAAATCAATGGAATTGCAACATGGTTGAACTTGGCCCGTTACGTTTTGGAAACAGCCAGTCACAATTTGGGATGGTATCATTGCAGTGCCTGTGTCAAGCTTTGCTGGTGTGCATTGCTAGCTGAAGGTTTCCCGTACACTATTACTTTCCATCCCTGGTATCCAATACTGTCTTAACTTTGCATGCACTGTCAGGTTTTGAGTACAGTTGCTTTTTTAGCTGAACTCAGGCACTTCCAGTGTGCTCTGGCCTTTGTTTTATTTTATGTTCATTCATCCTTCTCACAACTCATTTATCCTCCCGCTCAGAACCCCTTGGGTGGTTTTTTTTTTTTTGGTTTGTATGTTAAAGTTGCAACTTCTCTGAATGCTATCTTAATATATTCCCCTGCACCCGAATTTTAAGTGCATTTCTTCAGACTGTTTTTGGAGGGTAATCATGAAAATGAACCCTAGGTCAGAGATCTTGTTTGCAGAAAAAGATATGCCTAAGGGCGATTCTCCGTCTCAAAGGTAGTGGAGTACTGGCTCTTAAGTCAGTACCGTACACAGAACTGAAGAACCAGTCTCACTTAAGAGTCTTTCCTCAGCTTACTTATTCAGCTAATGAAAATTGCTTTTCCAGCCAATAAAGTGGTCCAAAATATCCCTGATGATCTCCGCTCCTGACATAAGTCCACAAACAACACAGCCTCATTTCAGATGCATCTCACTCTAGGAGCAATTTCTTTAATTCCCTCAGTGGCTTTACAAAGGAGAGTTGCTCTGATTTCTGTCATCTCTTAAGAGGAAAAAAACCCCAAATCCATGCATTTAATAAATCAATGCATTAAAATGAACCAAAAAGAGTATTTGATGCTTTCATCTAATCCCTACTTTACCTCCTCCAAATCCACTTTATGTAAACCAACTACATGCAAGACACGCATTATTCTGAAACAATTCCTTCTCAACAAGCAAGAAGACGATTCATCGATTGACACTAGAGCTGTGAGCACAGCACTCGCCCTATGTTTCTGCCTCCCTGTCATTGTCACATGCCATTGGGTTGCTATGAGTATCACTATTTGGGTGATACCAATGAAACAAATATAGCATATTTCCCAAATGCATAAATTCGCATAGCCATATGGTTCTAGCTCAGTGAGATGTTAGGCCTGGTAAGCCAACACACACATTAAAGAGTTCATTTTCCTTTCTTTAACATGCTGACATTTCACCCTGAGGATACAAAAGAAGGCTTGAATGGGATTTCCTTTCTTGATAGCATAGCAACACCTCTGACATTACCTGGGGCATAGCATAGTCACTGGCGCCAGACGTCGAGCTCTGGAAGATACTTCTTCACCTACAGGCACCTAGCAATGTGTTGGCCTCCCTTAACGGTTTGGTGGCCATGCCCAGAGGGTGTTTTGTAGCGAGGTTGTTTGAAGTGCTGTTTCCTTCCTTATTTATTATCAGTCATGATGGGAGAAATGCATTCACTTTTAAATGAGTGAGTCATCTGTGATTTCAACTTCACTTAACAGAGTGATGTCCTCTAAAGATATGAATGCATCTCTCCGGCCTGAACCAAACTGTGGTCACAATCTTTTGCAAATCCTCAATCGAGTAGAACATACCGTGCATTTTCATACTTCCTCACCGCCCTTGGAGGAACAGTTTGGTGATTAAGGTACTGGACTTGGACTACAATATGGAGTTGGTTAGGAAATATGTCCCAACAACACACTGGTGACTTCAAAAAGGTTCCTTGTCCACAGCAGAACAAACCTGAGACTTTGCAACATTTGCCATGGAAAA